CGATTCATTGCTTCTTTTTAAAGTTAAGTTAGAATGGATAATCGTGTTGCACAATCATTTCAGAAAATTTAAATCTGTTAATATTTGGTTTAAAGTCGAACTTTTATGGAAGAAAAACGAGCTGATATATAAAGTAAATTTATTTATATAGCAAAACGTTTTACACAATATAAAACAATATATAACGTCATCATTGGTTTGACAGAAGTTTCACATTGTGTTCACGGAGAGCTTCTTGTGATATATAACATGGTGGGTTGGATATTACAATTAATAGATTAACGCAGTACAATCTTATGTAGGTACTGCATCAGCGTAAATGTCGTTAAACAGATTTTTCCACATTTGTACTGGTGTCGATCAAGGTCGCATCCTGTCCCTCTTTTGCTTGTGATATACACTGATAAAATGGTAATGCTCAGTCGCAGTGACAAGTGTATCAATGTATGATGTGAGATGTTTAGACCAGATGTTTGCTATTTGCGGGCAACCCTATTTTTTTGCTACCTTCTGAAAATGATCTCCAAAGCTGTCCAAAAAGATTTGCATCCTGGTGCAATGATGTCTAAATTAAATAGCTAAATGCCTTCTCGTTCCCATGCCTACTGCACTTTGAAGGCAGGAGCAGAAACGGCGGAGCACGTGGGAAAATTCGAGTAACTCAGGCCGTGTTTATTAGTGATGAAAAATGGGAATATGAAATCGAACGACCAATTGAATCGTCAGCGTCGTTTGCGACTAATGAATGAACCTGAACCGTTGTGATTAACGTACAACTGAGTCTGAAAACTAAGCTTTCTCTGTTCATGTCGACATTCATGGTTTGCTTGCTAACTATTTACCTACATGTACTTACATAGTTGACTGATTGTCTATTGGTATCCTGTCGTGATCCTAATCGATCAGTACGCAAGCTAGGTGTATACTCAAAATTATCAAGATTATCAAGGTTGCTTGGTCTTCAGTATGAATTCTTTGATGTTTCCATACGCCGAGAACATTGACGCAAGGCCGTTTGGTCTTGGGTGATTCGCAGTTTGTCAGCTGTTTTCCGCTATTTCTTCTGCATACGTTCGCCACCTCATCGGAGGTTGCCTGAATAATCGTTTTCTTTCCCTCGAGTACCATACGGCAAGTCGTGAGGTTCATCGGTTGTCATCAAGAGGTGCGACGTGGTCTGCCCAACGTATCTTACTTTCTCTCATAATTCGCATGATATCTTGCACGCCACTCATTTTGCGGAGAGTTTTGTAGTGGATACGGTCACTGAGAGATATTCTAATCATCCTTCGTTCCGCTGCTCTCTCCGTCACAGCCATAATATTTTCTTTTGCCTTCATCGGTGCCCACAACGACGTTTCACATCCGTACGTCATTGCCTTCAACACTATGCTGTTGATGAGGCCTGTGCGGTCTTTCTGGTTTGATTCTTTGAGAACATGGATGATGCTGTGGAATTTGCGCCATCGGGCAGCCCTTCGACGTATAATCTCTGGTATGAGATCATGGCGCATATTCAGTTCTTGGCTCAAGTAGACATAGTTGTTGACTTCTTCCAAGTCTACACCATCTACCTGTAAATTGACTTTGGGCATGTCGACATTCGGCATCACCTTCGTTCCTGTTGCGTTGATTCTAAGACCCACTTCATTACTTCGTTCGCTCAGCTCAAGCAGCATCTCCTTCATTCCTCGAGCATCTTTTGCGGTCAGTATTATGTCGTCTGCGAACTGTAGATGATTCAGCTGTTCGCCGTTGAAGTTCAGACCGCCATTCCAGCTCAGTTTCGGAACACCATCTCGAGGCACGCGTTAAGGAGCTTGGGTGGTAATGAATCGCCCTGTCTTCCACCCTTTTCGATCGGGATACGAATTGGGTCTGAGAAAAGCGTTATATCACTCAAATATCCTGTATCGCTTCTTTCATGATTTCGACACAACTTTCATCGATTCCGCCTTCCACAGGATCTTTCAGGACAGCGTTGAGTTCCACGTTGTCGGGTGTCATCTCAAAGTCGACGAAAAGGACACCGTCGAAAAAGACATCGAAAAAGACACCGGAGGGTAAATTATGCTCCCTAGCGCGCTCTAGCAGTTGGTTTAGAGTCAAAAGGTTGCCAATAGTGCAATATTTGCTTCGAAATCCATCGATTCCGCCTTCCACAACAGCTTTCATCACAGCATTGAGTTCCACGCTATCTAGTGTCCTCTTGTAATCGACGAAAAAGGAGGAGTAATTTATACTGCCCAACGCTCTAGCAGTTGGTTTGGAGTGAAGAGGTTATCCGTAGTGATATGTTTCCTACTCAAAATAATTCGTAAAATAAATCATGTATTCAGAATTGCGCATATCAGTATGTAGCTTCCTTGAACGTTAAATTGTTATCTGGATGAAAATAACTAAGGTGCTCACAAAAAATTGGAATATTCCTTCTCAGTCAGTGAAGTTTTTCAAAGGTACAAATGATCATATTAATTCCATATAAGTTTATGGCACACAGTTTATGCATGTGCCAATATTCTATGAAAATAACATCTTGTGTCAGTTTACATATATAATCTTGTCAACTGCTGCAATGCAATGGCCTTGCATGATTGCAGTACAGACAACTCCATGCAAAACCTTATTCACACTAACTTTCAAACGTACTGGTAGTGCGGTAGATAGTTACGCATTTCGTTGAACATAATTATCTGGAATCAGGCTACAATACAAGACATCCAGCTGCAGCGGCAATTGCAGCAGGATCATGAAACATTTGGATTTATCCACTATTTTATCTATGTGGATCACGTTATTGCTGGTAGATCATATCTGGAGGCGCAGACCGCTTCAAAGCTGTGGCATTATGTTTAATAATTGTAAAACGGGTCTTTTTGAAAAGACAAAATGCGTGGGAACTGACAGAAACGAACTCATCAACGATCTTCTCCCTTGATGCCAAAAAGATACAATAATATATGTACATTAGTAATATTTATTAGCGACGATTGGCCAACGATGTAAAAAGGTGCTATTCACTGGCATTAGCATCAACAGTATGTGCAACAAACTCCTTAGGGTGAACGACATCGGCCATGACACATAACCGCTCACGTGCTGGCGTACATTCTTAATATCTTATCCTATGATCAGAAGACGGTAGCGCCTAGCAAACCTGACAATGAAGCCAGAGAAGCGAGGGAAACGAACATTTTTCAAATAGTATAGTTGGCTGCAGACGACATGCTTACGATGATGGTGCATCTTTTTTAGCAAATGCTCGACGAGGAGAATTTAATTTGCAATTACTCACAACGTTAGCTGATAAGTACTTCATTTTGAAGCCACCATCTTCTTCTTCTTAATCTTCCTTGACCGCTTCTCCTTTTGGGTCACGAAGGCAGTGCCTCCAACGTTCCCGATCCTATGCCAGAGTCTGAGCCTCGGCAGAAGAGACAGGAGTCTGGGACAGACTGATCCCATATATTTGAACTTGAAGGCACCATTCAAATTGAAATGCACTGAATGACATGAGACGTTTCGCAAGTACGAGTTTTTTCAGATATTCTAAAAGGCTTTGTTGCAGGACACCCACGGCAGTGCATTTAGAAAAAAAAACTGCTTAGATTTCATTAGCAACAGAATGCGACGGCATCATCCAATTGCATTTGTGTCACTGCTCTACTGGTACAAACTTACTGCCAAAATTACCGGTAGCGATAAGGTCGGCACTGTTATAATGGGAGTGGCAAAACCACCAGCGATTTATAATTTGTCACAGCTTTCTGTAACCTCCGTTCTCTGCCAATTTTCAATTTTACAACAACGCCCAACAAAACCCATATTTCAGTTACAGCTGTATCATATACCGTTGGCAATGTCCCATTCTTGGCATGTTTCACAGTTTAGGCAATTCTGTTTTCTCTGGCTATTGCGTGGGGCTTATTCGATTTCGCCACCAGCTCCCTGAGCAACGTCTCTCGCATTTATGATTAAACATGCTACCTAAATCAGTGCTAGGAATATTCGGGGTATTTACTACCTAGGAAAACGTCTTATGTAGATCGTGCTCAACTAGATGAGTATTGACAGCCAGAAATTATAACTTTAATTCGACCGGTTTTCTCAAATGCTACGTGAAGGCTTTATCACTGAGTTATTCGAATAAGCAAGGGTGAAAAAAAAACTGAAAACAGAAATATTCTTGCGAAACCAAATTTTATTGGTTTTACTGGAACGAGCCCTATTGATGAATGGCCTCATCTACTATTGTGAAATGCACCTCTGTCTACCGTATAATCAGAATAGCCTTATTTTAAACAAACTTAGCTTTAAATGAACCTGTTAGACTACATCGTAAAATATCAAACAGTGCAGCGCAACATAATCATCTACGACATCCCCTTGACGTCATGCGGACAAAGACCAGAGTCTGTCGGCTAACGTGTCAATGGTCTCCCAAGTTGATAGAGCCATTTATGTTTTCGAGGAAATTCTATACATAAATGGGACAACCTGATCACAAACTGAGTTACTGGATCAAGCATAGTGCGATCCCGGTCAAAGCATCAATGTGTGTTCCTTGGGAATACCAGAGAATCAGATGGTTCATCACTGTGGAGTAATTATCTAAGCTGTTGCTCCAACCAAGGTCAGATGGCCGCGGCGTCGTTTCCATAGGGACGATGGCCTAATTCTGCGTGTGACGTCTGTGGACACATTCAGTGCTTTGTGAGCCTGAGCTTCTTTTGGGAGATGATGCATTCGTTCGAGAAGAGCTTATGGTCTAACGGTGATGTAGGTTTCCACTTGACGGTGGTCAACTCATCTCCGCACTTC